TTAAGTATCATGGTAGACGTATATTACTGCTGCCTTGAGCGATCTGTTTTAGTCTCATTATGTCGCTTCTCATTCTAACTTTATTCGTCATGTGGTTTTGTTTTTGTGAAGGACTTCGGTCAGCGTAGTTAAGTATATATTTCACTTTATTCCACTCCTCCTTGATTCTTTATACATAAAATTGTACTACTTAGCGACCTCTTCTACTATGTAGCTGTGTAATATGGTCATCGAACGTAGAGAACACCAGAAGACTTCAGACAGTTGACCACAATCACCTTAGTAGAATCCGCTGTATGAACCACCACTCTGATAATGCAGAAGACACGTGTAGAGTTTTGAGCAGAAGAAGGAAGTCTGTTGATTAAGTTGTGAACCTTGGTTGAATTAAGTGACTGGGACATGTGTAACACGTGATTGGTCCACCGGCTACTGTTATTGTTATTTGTCCCTTGGGTTCCTAGTAGAACATAGGGCTTCAGTAGCACGTCGCCATTTCACTCTGTTCTCTGCAGTCTTTTGAACCTGGCTCCACGACTGCCCACAAGCTTTCATTTCTTCCTCACATGATCTCCTCCATGTCACCCTCAGATGGGACGCCCAACTGGTCGTTTCCCATTTGGGTTCCACTCGAGGGCCTGATCTGGTGCGTGATGTTCCCGAATAGTTTCCTCAGTGTATGCTTAGTGCAATCCATGTGCACTTTCTTCTGCACATTTGTTGGGTGATGGATTCTTGGTTGGTTCGTTGCCAGCTAGCTAGCTAGCTAGCCAGCCAGTCAGAGTTCTTTGTTGCTTATTCTTATTATTCTGACCATCTGATCTTCAGTATTGAGTGAGTGTAGGTGGCAGCTGTTGATGGATGTCTGTAGTTTGTTGGTAATGCTTTTCGTGACACGCCAAGTTTCTGAACCATCTCATAGAAGCACTGACTTGACTTGGATTAGTGTTGAAAATCCGGATATTGTTGACGCTTTATGTTGAGTGGAGTTGTGTTGAGTGCAGTAGATCTCCACACTGGTTTCAGTTTGAAGAAGGCCTGTGTTGCTGTTTTTCGTATCCTGGCTTTGATGTCCTTATCTGTGCGTGTGCGGCCGCTTGTTGTTGAGACGATGCTGCCTTGGGTGGGTAGGTGAAAGCGACAACTTGCTTTAGTTCTCTCCTGTTGATGGTGCTTGTTGTTGTTGGTGGTGGCGGTGGTTGGGTATCTTGATCACCTGTGTCTTCTCTACATTCACGTGAAGGAAGTGCCGTCTTCGCTGCCCTGCCTCTTCTGTCAACTTGTTGGTTTTTGCCTGTATATCTTCGAGTTTGTGCGACAAGTCATTGGACATGAATGATCATGGGGGGAATCCAGATGTTCTAGTGTCTTTTCATGGATCGAATGGCGTATTGTATTCCCATCTTCTTTTCGCTCCTCACAGTTTGTTACATGATGCAATCCAGTCGGGTGCAGTCGACCACAATGAGGAAGATGATGGGTGATGGTAGGCGGCAGCGTTGTCTTACTTCTGTCTTCATTTCAAAGGTATCAGTCAGCTTTCCATTGTGAATCACTTGGGATGTGACTTTGTCATATGGTTGTTGAATGAGGTTGATAAAGGTTTGTGACACTTAAACGGCAGTGTTGAAGCAGCTGTCTGCCAAATTACTTTTTGGTCGACGCTATCGACGGGCTTTTGAAGATGGATGAGGTTGAGGTAGAGAGTTGACTGAGATTCTATGCTCTGTTCTATGATGGTGCATAGCGCAGCGTTGCAATTTGATGTGCTCATGATTTGTTGTTCGTGAAGGCAGCGAGCCAGCCAGCCAGCCTTTTCCGGTTGTGTTTTGAATCCAGCGCATGTTTTAATCTCTGCGGGATGATGTGGGATAATATTTTGGTTGCTTGGGGTGGACAGGGATGGAGCATGATTGTGCGCCAGTTATTGCAGAGACTTATGTCTCCGTGCTTTTTGAGTTTGACAAGGTAGGCCTTCTTCCAATTAATGGGCAGGTACGTTTCCTTCGTTGCAGACCTTCTGCAATAGTGGTGTGGTGTGAGCATGTCCACCGCTGATGTCTGTTCGTCTGTTTCCAGTGTTAGTGGAGGGATTTCATCAGGTCCTGCTGCTTTTCTGGATTTCAGTAGTTTTATGGGGTTCCGGACTTCTGCTGTTGTCGGGTAGCTTATGTTCACTGGTAATTCTGTGGCTGGGTTGTTGGTTGTATTTCTGGACGAGTTTCAGGTGGAGGAGGTGGTGGTCGATTTGAGAGTTTTTTGAAGTGATCGGTGCATCGTTTCCTATGTTCCTCCTCTTTGTTGTTAACTAGGTTTCCTTCACTATCTTTCATTGGTTTTATCTGTTCCCAGGTAGTATTTTTGTTATTTGATGTGGTGTTGTCAGGTCTCTCTCAGCAGCCTGCAGCCTGTTCTGCTTCACTTGCGAGTGAGTCGTCGAAGTGTCTTTTGTCTTTCCGTGTACTGTTGTTCACTTCTTTGTCCAGTGTGTGTAGTGTAGTGTAGTGTTTTGTGTTGTGTTCAGTTCGTGTTTTCGTTGTTCATCCTTGCACTGATTTATCTTCTACTTCACCATCTTCCTGTCCCTGCTGTATGAGTTTGCATGTGTCTGTGGAGATCGATTCGTTGTCTTGCCTCTTCTTCTTCCTTGCTGATGAGGTTGTGCAGGTTTCTTTCCACATCTCTTTCGAAGAGTTCCAGTGTTGTTCCACACAGTTTGCCACAGGGATGTTGCTTAGTGTCTCGTACTTTTTTGTGATGGCTGACTGATTTGGAGGATGTCGTTTATAGTTTCGTGCTTGGGTTCATTTTCTGTTCTAGGTGTTGAACTTGAATACTGGCTACTATTGATGCCTAATATTAATTGAAGTGTGTTGAATGTGGGTAAGTGTAAGAGGTGACCATTTTGAAACTTGGTATCATTCTGGAGAATCTGACTTTTTATGTGAGCTGTGTAGGGAAATGTAGAGTTCGCGGTTTTTATTCTGCATGACAGCCGAGTGAAGTGAATTGTTGGTATGTCTGAGAATGAGTGTGAATGGTGCTGGCGCATGCATGCAATATCAGTATTGTCATTGTGACTGTTATGCTGATTTTCTTCATTGTTGTTTTCATTTTTTTTCTTGATTCACGACTTCTGTTGTTTTTGTCTGCTTTCTACCTTATTTATGTTTGTTTTGATTCGGTGTTGTGGTGTGACTGGTGACCACTTATATAGTCGCTCAGTAATACAATATATTGCTGACGGAACTAGTGCAGTTTCGCATACTGAGCTACATGCTTTACTTTTGGACTGACTTATTATACTTCAGAAGCGTGGTAGATTTACAGGAACTTATTGCTTTATAGGCTAGTGCTTGACCCATTATTTTTCATACTTCATGTGCTTTCACAAGTTAACTTCAAGGTTCACATTTTATAAGTGAACTACCAACTGCTTACTATGACCGGAATCTTCCTTCCCTAGAAATGGGCCAGTACTTTATCTCATGCAAATTTTTTCATTATTAGTATTCGACTAGTGGAGGCGGCTAAGTTCAGCATCAAAATAATCTAATCGTTTTGCTGTACTTCACGCAATATGTTCTTTTCGATGTATTTTGTCTTTATTTCACCTCCCATACATGTGTGCCAGTTATTTCATGTTTCTTATGTTTTGTATTGGTTTAGTAGATGGTCTATGTACAAAACTACTTAGTGATCAACTTGAGTAAAGTTATCAGATTACCTTTTGAAGTAGAGTTCTGCTAGTATTTTGTTATATGACACTCTTATTGCATCACTTACTTGCATTTGAATAAAAACAATAGTTTAGACAAGAAATCCAAGATGTTTGTTAAGAAGGGAGCCAATAAAATTTAATATTCTCTACAAATAATTATTTTTGAGAATGTCCCACTTATTTTGTATTAAGCTTTGTATACCAACTGGTATCATTATAATGCGTTGCGTTTGATAAAAACACTATTACTCAAATGAAACCCAGTAATTTAGTACTTTAGCTTCCATGTGAAAAAGTTGTCGGCAAAGAAGCGTCAACTTTTTCGTGTATCACTATTTCAATACCGTATAAAATCTAACAAGAAATATGTGATAGGTGTTTATTCCTTGTCTATTCAAGGTCGTTTGATTCACACTGCTGTTTAGACGAATTATTTGTGTGGGTATATTGTTAGTCTATTATTTTTTTAAACTAACCTTTTATATGAATCTTAATCAAGACTTAACCAGATAATTTTAACCGCTGATAAGAATATAACTTGTGTCTGAATCACTACCTTTTGTTCTCAGTTTTAGTCTATTTTCATTATCTGTTATGTCACACGACACATATTTATACGTAACATGGATAAAGAGAATTTCAACAGTCTTTTTACTTGATGATGGATAGTCGCTAGCAGTGGAATCCAGGACGCGCTTTTTATTCTATTTGGGACTCATCAGCTGGATGTGCCTGCTTCCTAGTAAACGGTTATCCAGTAGACCACTAGGTCACGATAGCCACTTCCTGTGTGATAGGTAAGACGAAATATGCATCCTGGATCCCACTGATAACCCCTATCCATCACTGATAATATATAGTTGAAATACAGACAATATCAAGACATCTATACTGGAACCCATTTGTCAATACAGACCGATCAATTCGGTCCAGTCAACGACGGGATAATACGAGTAACAAAATAAAAGTCCTTTTAGTGTTTGCCGTTTAGTGACACTATTCGCCACCATTTCCTGTTAGTTATTTTACAAATTCACTATCGTATATTGGTTTATTTACTCAATTTAGCCTGATAGGCCATTTTTACCAACTCCACTGCACTTACCAAAGTGCGTAATTCCAGGTAGCATCTTTACTACTCATACAATAGATATGATTTTTTTTCAAACTATCACTAGTTTGTGCACTATTAGCTCAGTTTCTGAGTGAAACAGTCAACTCCTTTTATGTGAATTAGTTGTTATCAATCTTGATGTCATAATCATTTTTCATCCTGTAGGTTTATTACATTGACTCCACACTCTGGTATTTATGTCCATCCATTAACTGGAAGTGTTTTTGCCACTGGAAAACAGAATGCAACTGAATTAGATCGTGAGACCACTAAAAATTTCACGATGAATATTCTTGTACGTGACGCTCAGAACCATGTTGGTACTGGTGTTATATATGTACATCTATTGGATATCAATGACTTTCGACCTCAATTCATTGGATTACCCTATTATGTGGCCTTTTGTGTTGGTTCTGGCTCCAGTTTCACTTCAATAAATGACCGACAGTCCAGTAAAAATGTCGAGTCTAATCGTACCTGTAAAAGCCTTAATCAATTTAAAGTAAGTATGATTTTTCTTCAGTATTTTTGTCTAGTGTTTTTAATAAATTGTAAGCATTTTACTTCATCTTTGCTTACCTTACCTTAGCTTTTCGTTATTTTTAAATTAATGTTTTCCCATGAATGAAAACGAAATGTTTAGCGTGGGAATTTATAATCAGCCGTAATAAATTTGATAACATCCTCCTTATTTCTCCTGAAGTTTTTAGTTTCATATCTTCACAAACTTTCTGATGTGATGTGCATAAATTCAACCGTCTTTAAAAAACTACATTCACTCTAGTTTACGTGTGTGTGTGTGAGTGTACTTGGAAACTGATAGGAGTTACAAAAATTATTTCTGATTCAATCAGCAAGTAACTAACTAGCTAAATTTGGGGGTAATTTGAACGATTTGTTCTTGTGAGCCGAAATAATCTAGGTACACCGATCAAGAAATCGACTTCAAGCTAGGGAGACGTGATCCCGTGTATAAGTCTCCGTGGTCTGGCCATCATGCACTCCACTCCACTACACTCAATCCAATCGATTTCATTTTTATTATACAACTGTGATGAGTTTATTTACTTGTATGGCAGGATGCATTGTATAACTGTTGGTTATTAAGTTGTATGGAATCAGTAGTTAGGCAGTTCAATAATTTATTCTTATATTGCAAAGTTCAAAAACTGTTCGCATTAATCAACATCCACTTCAAAAGTCGGATTCTGTAGTTCTACTGGCAGTAACTTTCCTAGTATCATCGCGTAACTGTGCACAATTCTTGTGCGTACATTGTTTCTTGTAGAACTGTGGCTCTTTGGTTTAGCAAGGTAACTTTCAACCAGCAGGTCATGGGTTCGAGTCCGACACCACACACTAAAGGGTTTAGGACCCAGTTAGTATCATCAACAGACTTCACACAATGCGTGTTTCTCACTGCCTATTCCACGAATATGCACAAGGTTGTTGAGTGCATTCCAATTCTATTATTTCTGGGTAGAATCCAGTTGGCAGGTATTCATCCTTAAAGTAATATCAACTTTTGTGATGGCTGAAATAGGTTCAAGATTTGAATTCCTTTTACGAATTATGTTGATGTTGTTGTTTTTTTTTCGATGAAATACTAACTAAACATCTATCCAATTGTCATTTTTCAAATCTTGGTTGATAATAATTTTTATAAAGATTCTGTTTTATGCATTTTCCAAAATGTTGTTTCACTTAAATTATGTTTTGTAAGGTGTTAATCAGATTGATTATCTTTACTAATAATTTCTGATTATTATTCCTTTCACTGTTATCACATTTACGTGTGTTCAATATTTCACTTACAACACTTTCACACATACATACACAGCCGATTATGTTTGCTTTCACCATAATTATTACTTTTTATTATTTCAGTAAGATTCTGCTGCTAACTGCTATCCATCAATAATATAAAACAAATTTGATTCATTTTTGTGAATTTGTTTTATTTATTTTAAGCTATCGAATTGGCTAGTTTAATAATAACACTAGTAATTAGTAGTTTTTATAGTAGCCTGTGTTCGATTTCTATTTTTTTCTTAAAAAAAATCTTTTTTATGTTCATAATATATCATAGCAGAAGTTTCAACCGTGAAGCAAAAACGATAGAAAGAATTAACAGTGGAAATGTTTAATTCATCATAATTCTAAATCGTGACGCCAAATCCTTATGATTTTTATCTATTTGATTAAATAAAGTAGTTGTTTTACTTTTTTATTCTATGAAAAATGATCGAATATAATTAGTTTATCACATCATTATAAAATCATGCTTTACCTGTCTCATATTCTTCTATAAGATGGGACAGTGGATGCAGTTGAAGTCGATGAGATAAAAAAGTTGCTATACTACTATTGATAGTAATATTGTTACTAATGTTTGCTGTATACAATAAGTCTGCTATTTATTTTCAGTATATTTATGATCATATTTGTTCAGTGTGACGTACTACAATGCTGCATCTTATCATTTTATTTGATAATATTTACTTTCACCTAAGTGATTTTTGTTTATGGGTTTTCTTTATGCATATTTGTGGGCTAAAATTCAGGGAGTATTGACTAGGTAGTAGATCGTCAACGTAGTAAATAATACTGGTCCTTATTCTTTGGGTTTACATCAAAGATTTTGTGCTTGTCTAAGTGCGTTTGCAGGGTGGGGGTGGAAGTTAGATCGTTGTTACCTATTACAATGGTAGAAATGCCTTATATCAGTGATGAATTCCAACCTTATACCAGTAGAGCTGTGGTCTATGAGGATGACTTTTAACCAGTGAGCCGCGGGTTCGAACCCCACCCAGTCTATCGAGGTTTGGCCAGCTGGGAAGTATTATTTGCCTTCATAGAATAGGTGTGGCTTATTGCCTACTGCAAGAATGTGCGCAAGGTATCTGAATGAATTTCGATCTCGATTTCTTACGTCAGTCACTTCACAAACTTGTTTTATATGTTTTAAGCTAGAGGTTGGTCTTAATCTGAACAGGGTGCCTTCAAAGTAGTCACCAGGTCAATAATACGAATTCTGTAACTTGATTTTAGGAAAAACTGACTGCATGAATATGCTTTAATAAGTGCACAGATCATATTGAGATTGGAAAACATTGCCTAGATTTTGTAAAATAATCAATGCGATTTTCTTTTTTTGTGGCTTTGTCATCTCCATTTCTTAGCAACTTCGAAGCTTTAAAATTTTTCCATTCTTGTCATTATCAAAAGTTAATCATCTTTGAAGAACATATACTAGGTTCCATTTATTTATATTTCTATAAAATCATTACACCTTTGTGATAGTCACTGATACAACCATGACCATTTTGTTTAGATATTCAAATCTCAATTATTAATTCACAGTTTTTCCGTGTAGTCTACTTTTAGCAACTAGGTGTTGGTGTTAGGTAGGACTTGTACAGCAAGAAAAAACTTATACATCGAATCGAATGAGAATGTTTATACTCTGTGTAATGTATAAAAAAAATATTTCTAGTGTTCTGATTGTCACTAAATAAGTATTAAAGAAGTCAAAGTCGTGAATCCTGAGCTTTTAAACTTGTGCTTCTCTTTCTCGTGAGCTCATTACCGATAAATGAAATGTTTTTTTCAAACGGTTAATGGTGCTTCTGATTTTCTTGTCTTGGCGAAAAGTTTTGTTTTCCTATGGCTTCGCATTAATTTTTTAATCCATCTCAGTGAAGAAAATAATTCTATGTATCCCACGTACTAATTGATTTTGAAAGTGGTATTTATTCATATATGTTGAAGAGTTTCGAAATAGGACTAAATAGGTATTCATTAGTTCATATCTTGCAATATTTACCTAACTGACGGTGGTTTGCAACCAGTATCACTGTTAGGTTCATCAGAAATCCATAATCTGCCAACTTATATATTTTTATAACTTAAATTTTCCATAAAATTCCATTAACTATAGTACTTAATATTTTCAGGTTACTGCTGTTGACAAAGATGAAGGTATAAATGGAACTGTTGTATATAGTTTAACGAGTATTCGACCTAGAGCTGAACCACCGTTGTTGTCGATCAATTCTACTTCTGGGCATGTATATCTTCTTAGGAATCTTCCATCTGATTGGACTGGCAGACAAATTGAAGCTGTTGTTGCTGCAATCGATGGAGGTGGTCTTTCATCCACAGCAACTGTCAATATCCATTTAGTTGCTGAAAATGGTCCACAATTCTCGGCTAATCTTTATTCCGCTTCCATCCTAGAATCTGCTGCGATCGGCGAAGCCGTTACATCAGTTGAAGCTGTAGGCATTGACATCGGTGCAAGTTTGATTTATCGTATTGTGAATGCAAAGTCTATAAAACTTGCACCTACATGGCATGGGGATTTATTTAATGAACTTAAAGAACAGAATCTAATTGGATTAGAGAATTGTCCTTTTGCTCTGGAATTTAATACAGGTAAACTTATTTAACATGCTATCACTATTTACCTCAATTAGCTGATGGCTGTTTTCTTCTATACATTTCTTTGCATCTGCTGATTTGCTTCTGTCATTTCCTTGTATATATCTCATATCCATCGAGTTTACATGATAAAAAATCACATCGAAGCAATAAAAACTAACATTTAGAATAAAATGCAGCAAATGAAAAGGAGATAGCTTAATTCAGAAGTCGAAGCATTGGTTTAACAGTTCACTACAAAAAATGATCATATGCACGTCACTGGTATCGTTTCATCACCTGCGATCTGACGGATTTCAGCGAACCGGTTGTAAGATCACAGTATCCCAACTAGTAATTAGTAGACGCATAAATTGATGTTACCTATTGGCATGGCTCTTCTTAAGCCTCACTTGAGCTACTTTTCTTGTTGACAATATATCATATTATGGTATGTATTGTGCAGCTACTGGCACATGTCTTAAGCAGTTTAGTTTGCGTAGATTCATGGTTGTATTGATTTATCTGTAACAGTAATTTAACATATTACCATCACTGAACTACTATCTCTGGTTGTTGTATTGAAGCAAGTATGTGGTAAAATAAGTTAGGATTGTGTGTTCGCCTCATGTCTTGACACGTTAGTATGAAAAGCTGTGTTACCTCACTGATGGTGAATAAGCTTCTCCTTGATTTTGCAAGCACTAGTCTTCAACGTCCTTGAGTTTTTTCTCCTACGAACACATCCTGTAAAGTGTGTTTATTAGAATGATCGTACATACCTTTGTAGAAACCTGAATGATGCTTGCTTGTGAATGCGGTAACAGTTTTTTTTTTAAAGTCAAATACTTTCCTTATTACCACTTTTGTTGGCAAAATAAAGTACTTGTATTGTGGAAAACTTTATTGCTTTATTTGTCCGTTAGTTTTTCACTTTTTGTCTCCCTAAATATGTGTTTATGCAACAATCCAAGTCTTTGAAAATGAACCTAGAAATAGTAATAACAAATATAATTGCCAACGGGAGGCAGATAGAAAATAAATTATCATCACCAACAATAATTGTAATTTCTCTCTTCTATTTTTAACACTTCGTTTAATATTTACGTGTATAAGTGGGGGTTTGTGCGTGTGCATACATTTCTTTGGGTATCATTTTTTTCTGGCTTGCATCATACGAAATCAGATGTTTTCTTCTTTCACATTCTAGGCGGTATCCGGAATTTCGGTGTATATATTTTTTATCCTTCACTAATACAGAAAAACAGCAATTTCGTGCGAGTATTTATTATTTCATATCGCTCTGATTTTTGGATGGAATTAATCATATACCAACAATTAAATATGAATGAACGCTAGTGTAAAGACGCAGTAATTAAGTTATTCATCAGCTGTCTGATTGAATGTATCCTCCTCTTTTTCAACAAAATAATTTGGTACTTATTCATTGCTATTCTATGCATTCTCCTCAGTTTGCAACCTAGACATGTTAGTCAGTTAGCCTCGATATCCATTTTGTGTGCATGAATTATTAAACAGGTTATAACTGACTTCCTTGGGTTTTTTTCACGGTTGTCTTTCCATCTACACAACAGATTTCTGAAAACCACCTGTTTTCCATCTGTTCATTACTTCAGTTTCTCGTTTGTGAAAAATCTTTGTGCCACGATATTACTGTGTGTATGTGTCTTGATGTATATACTCATTCACATACGACTGCTAACACTCATTACATCACTTCACTTTTCTTCGCTTGTTTTTCGCATCTGCCTTCCTTGTTGTTCTTTCCTCTTCTGGCACATATTTCTATCCTCAACAATCATTTAGATTGTTCACACACATGAATTCTGAATGTCTGTTTGCATGGTGAGTGCAGACATATCTTTTGGGTGTATACAGAGAGAGCTGTGGCTCAGTGGTTCAGGGAAATGACTATCAATGATAAGATCATAGGTTCCTTTCTATTCCACCTACCAGGGTTTGGGTAGCCAGGTAGCATCACTAACCCTCACACAATAGGTGTGGGTCATTGCCTACTGTATGTGTGTGCTCAAGGTTGGTGAGTGTGTTTCAGGTGTATGCACATAAACACGTGCATGCGCATGTTCCTGTGTTGAATTATTTCAAATCTTTCAACGGTTTTTCTTTACTGCCCTTATTATTATATGCACTTTTTTTTTATTCAGTATAACTGACCATCGAAAACGATGCGTCACTGGGGCTTTCGTCACTGAATGACTTTTCGTTGTCTCATTTTTCATCCAGATATTCTGGATATGAAATGCCTAGTATTCTTTGATTTACGGTGTAGTTGTTTCATTCTTTATGGAGTTTCTGTTTGTTCTTCCGGTTTCTCATTTGTAAACATTTCTTTTTTTAATGTGACTTTGAGCATAGTCTGACTAACTATCTTCTTGGTATTGAATTATGCAAATCTACTTATTATTACCAGAATAAATTTCTTTGTTGGGTTCTCTATATTTGCATGAAGCACTGGTATATTTTTGCCTACTTTTTAAAATATGAACTCAAGGATTATCAGAAGCACTTTAACTCTACCTGAGATCTTTCTTTCTACTGTCCAATCTTAATTCTTATCATACTTATCGGTCGTCAGAAATCTCAGCATTTTTTTTTATGTGGAAGGAACTATCGAGAACAGTAAATATGTCTGCACCGTTTTGTTAAATCATCGAAATGAGGATAGCTTCAGAATGTTTTCTTGATCAAATTTTTCAATTGTTACAATTTGATTCATGTATCATTTATAGCATAACTCACAATCGGCTTTATTTTGCCTCGTTCAGACAGTTTCGACATGAATCTATTCGTCAAATTAATAGGGATTTGTGTTCCACCTTTATTTTGAGAATTCATCACTTCAAGAATGGCTTTTGCAACTCTACTCTCCTCAACTGTACCACAACGCACCATGGTTTATAAAAATGAAACAACTGATTTCCAGCACAGAATATAGGATAATGCATAACATTAGGTTCCACTCAACGTGCAGTTATTTCCGAAATAGAAGTCATACAGAAAAGAGTGAATAGTCAATTCAAAGCCCTTGAAACTAGCTATACAATAGTGCTACCATTTAGGTCATAAGATGAATTTCAAAATTATTGAAATGATATGACTGGTGACATTTATTTGAGTAGATCTACATTTCCCACTTTTCTACTGGTATACAAAGCCGCAGAGACTTCTGAATAACTGTTTCACTGAATTTTTGAACTTCTTATCAGTGAGCGCTTTCCAATGCGTGACGGATCAGGTCACTTGGGAACCACATTATTGAGTAGATCCCTGGGTGGTAATCTTATGATCCACTTTTTTTCCCTACTTTTATCAATTCGTGATTTGTTACGACTAGCGTTCAGAGTCATAGGAGTGTATGTGATTTTACACTCAACTCGGTTGATATCATAGGTGATTGCTTTCCCTAAAGACTTCTAGAAGCCCTTCTCGAAGCGAGTCACTCGCAGTATCAATCCGTAATGAAGTCTAGACTGAATTCAGTTGGTTCTTCCGCATACCAATCTATGTATTCGTCGAGCCTTTCTTGTTTTTAGAGTGGATGACATTGTCCACTGGTAATCTAATTCTCAGTTGAGTATATGTATATTTATGCCTTCTTATGCTAAACAAGATATAATATAGGAGAAAATCAGATGATCAGAATGATAATGTTATTTCTCTTCATCACTCTACACTCTCTAAGCATATTATGGCTAGTATTATTTAAGTGACGGAAAGATTTATGGGTTGTATAATATATACATTAACATTACCAACTATTACTTGTAACAGTTTTAGTAATAGTAAATCTGATGAACTAATCATGATAATGATACATGCATATGAATATAAATTGTCTGACATTTCCACTAATAACTTATTTTTTCCTATTCCTGGCTATATTCTCTCTCCCTCTGACAAACACATACACACACCTATATACACATTAGCACGTGTGTATGTTTTTATGACCTTTACTACTATCGTATATATATATATATATATATATATATATATATATATATATATATATATATATATATACAAAGCATTTTCGTCTGACATTATACATAGTTACTGTTGAGGGTTTGTCTGACTTTTCACTTGATGAAGCCTATCATACGAATCTAATTGATAGTGCTATCATCTTCACTTTTTGTTTTGATTGTGCGTATGTGTCTTTACGTGTATATATTGTATTTCGTCGATAAGGTATTTATTAGTTCAACGTAGTTTTTTAAAATCATACATTTATTAAGAAGCATAAATTTACATGTATGTATGCACAAATTATGTGGCCGGATGGATGTGAGATGTAGGTTGCGATACAAAGTAACGAAAGAGATTATTATAATATAGTAATAATAACAATAATAATAATGATCGTGGTAATAATAGTAATGTGGTTTCTTGATGATACTTGAATTAGTGCGTTGTTGTTTCCGTTTCTCGCATATAGTATGTATTTTATTGTCTTCAAAATACTTGTTTTGAACTATGCAAGCAGTTTTGTTGTTATATCGTTGTTAGACTAGACGGAAGACGTTTTAGACTACTTGACTGTGTGCAACTTCATCAATTATTAGAAGAGATAGACAGTAGACATGGTAGGGAAAAGAAAAAGAATTCAACTTGGTGTACAACTTTAAAAATTGTGGTTTGTTGTAGCAGTTTTTACTGGAGGAATTTTTTATCATTCGGTAATCCGGTTCAAATAAAAAATAAAACCTTGAAATTGTTTTGACTCTGATTTCTTCACTATCCCCACCACCGTCTGTATTGTACAAAATTCTTACTGTTCTTTTTTGTTCGGGTGTGGATTTTATCCAGTAGCCTTGGGTAGTATTCAATTATCACTTTTGGCATATCGATTGAATGCTAGAAAATATATCGAATGAGAGTGGCCTTCTCGATTGTAGGATTTTTCGACTTCAAGCTTTTCTGTATGAAGTTGTCCATGTACAAAAGTATGTAATGTGATATGACTTACTTTG